GAATAAGAAGCAAGAAACCCACACATTGGGTCAACAATGACATTGCTTCAGGTGCCATCGGACATCCTTCTCGCTCCTCTCGTGCCTCCTTGCTGAGATGTGGGGCTTCCTTGTCATAAACAGAGTGAGGCCCTCCACCTGCGAGGCGAGGACCCCCCGATCTCGGTTGACCGAGACCCCAGATAGGACGAACGTCGATGAGAGACACGTGGGAGGTACAAAACCTTCAAATATTACATGCTGGAATCGACTAGCGAGGCGACTTTCCACTGTCGCAGTCTGAAGAGAACCATGCAGATTGCGAACCACATGTCGCAGGTGGTAAGTTTGCACTTGGGCAAGTTCTTCAGCCCAGTCACCTCTGTCACCCTGTATCACCCGTGCCACCTTTCGAGAAAACCAGTGTGGTCGTCATTTTTCTACTTCCTCCCAAAATCCTGAGTCTGCCCATGTCTGCCCCATGCGTAGCCTGCCATAACTCCCAACTCTGGGCTCCGGGCTAAGGATAATGCCATTGGGATGGAAACTGGTGACATCATCCAACTTCAGCAAGCACGACCTCACCCAAATGGCGCCAATTTGCTGCGCTGCATGGTACCACATCGTGGTACCATCTCAAATTGGGTGATTCCACACGACGGTGAAGCCCGAGCAAGGTGGGCCACCGTTCGTGATCTCGGAAGCTATTCAATGACGCATGGAACTTGGAGTGTTTTCGATTTTCCCAAGTTTCAGAGTGGAAGATGTTGGACACATGCATAACTAATGCCAGATGAGAGAAGCCCAGGTCCTAGGAGTTTCTCTCAGGTTCAACTCTTTGGGGTACAAAATTGATCATCACTTGGGTGATGTTCTTCTTTCAGGAAAGGAGGGAAGGAAAGGAAGAACATCACAATGACATCTACTCATCCGCAAAGAGGTCCTACCTCTCTGGATCTAGGCAAACACCAGCCTGGGTACACCTGAAAGTCTACATCAAGATTGCTGTACGGATCCCATCCGTGCAACCGGTTTCGATACATGTCAAACATGCAACTCGCGGCACAACTCAAACGCAAAGTCAATTACTTAAATCTGCCAGAAACAGGGATCGATTGTCACCATAACAAAGTGGGAATTCCAAAAAAAAAATCAAGAAACTATAAATTAAGATATGTTAAAACAAAAAAAAATAAACATGCAAAACAACCTTCGCTCGACAACTTCACGAAAGTAGACATCGACCTCCCCCACCTCAGCTCGCAATAGACGCCCGCTTCTCGCACGCGGCGGCAAATCAGGTGGCTCACCTGAAAACTCCGCGTGAGGTATGAGGAGTGAAACAGAAGCTACTAGGAACAAGAGGACGCTACTAGGGGCTCCTGGCATCGCTACTAGGAGCAAGGACGCTACTAGGGGCTCGTAGCCTTACTACTATAGGAACAATGTTTGCTACTAGGGGCTCCTGGCAGTGAAACAGAGTGCAATGGAGAAGGACCCTTTTTCTATCTTTTTTGAAAACTTTTTTGCGTGGTCCAAAGGTGCAAAGCCCCCGACATGTTGGCCAGAGGTAAGTCCAACTAGCTATGTTGCTGCTCTTTCAGGAGACACGCAATTCTGAGTGCGGAGCAGTACTGCTCGCTGGGTGTGGAAATGTCAAAAAGGGATGGATGAAATTCCCTGAGCCTTAGCTTTCAAACACCATTTGAAACAAGGTTGGCCTGGTGTTGTAGGCTAAAAACAATGGTGGACCACAAATCCTAGGGTTGAGTGTACTTCTTGTGAGTCCTGGCATTCGCCGAAAGTCACATGGATACCCTTCATCGTGGGCACAAAAGGCTCAACAGGACGAGAGCACGACAGGATGTGGTGATGAGAACTCAGGGGAAGTTGCAGCAAAAATCTTTTAGTAAGGCACACATCAAGTGAAATATGATGAAATATGAGAACCCTGACCTCTTTGCATCTCTTTGAAGCATTGTTGGGATGGTTAAGGAGGTTTTTCAGGGTTTCTGATGTCCTCCTGGGACGTTTTGAACGAAAGAGGACGAGGCCAACGGTTGGAAGCCTGTACTCACTGAACTCTTCCGAACCGAACCCACGCCTGGGACCCAAAATCGATCACCAGGATCCTCTCCTGGAAGCGGACGAGGGAAGGTCACAAGCTGATTGTAAGATGAAGCAGAAGGATCAGAAGGGTTACATTGTTGTTCTTTTCACAAAGTGGTCAAGTGATCAACTGGTCACAAAAGTGGGCAATCTTTTCACAAAAGCTGGCAATCTGAGTACCACTGGTCAAGTCCTTATGATTTGCCCCATGTGAAACTTCCCCACTGGTGATGCCCACTTTTGGCGGGAATAGGAGCTATTTGCAGAAGCTCAAAAGCCTTAACGGAGGAAAGTCTTGTCCTGAAACAGGGAATCTGAAAGCTGGCTGGTAGAGAAAAGTAGACTACGACGGGTCGCCCTGTTCAACTACATGCTTATGTCTTGGAGGTGTACACACATGCATGAATTATCTGAACCTTGAATCACTTTTTGTTTGGCTCGTCTCGACAAAAAGTATCAGAACAATGTATATAACTATGCCGGATACCGTTGAGACAAAAGACACCTGACAGAACATCACAAGAAAGAAAGAACCTTAAAAACCTTAAAATATCTTAAAAGCAACCAAACCCCGTTTCTGGTGCATATGTTGTTTCCTCTTTGCCGAACGACCCTAAACCCGGAAGGATTTTCGCAGTCGAGGTGAAGAGACGAGACTTCGACTTCTTGACTTCTCATCGACTTCAGCAAACTCATCGACAACTCCACAGCTTCGAGGGCCATTCAGAATGACCAGGATCAGGTGAATCAGTTCATTCCCACATGCAAATTGTCATGAGTGTCCATGTCAAAGATTTTATCGTGGGATCGATCTCTTTTCAACTGTCGAAACAACGTACCGTTCTACCTTCTTCTGCCATCTGCGGCAGGTGGCTGGTCCATAGCCAGCCAGAAGTCGTGCCTAAGAGAACCGGGGGCCTGCTTCTCCATGCCAGCAATCATATCAACAGCGGACTTGGCCTCAAGGTGAGCTGAGATACAGCTGAGAGGAACAACAAAAACACCCATCGATGTGGACATACCCATCGATGGATCATTCACCAGAACGACAGGTGACTCATCCTCCTGGCCCCTGGAGGATTCTGCAACCGACGAACTTCTGTGACGTGAGACACCAATTTGTTTGATTCCCCAAGCAACCATTGGTGACGCATTGGTAGCGCACCATCATCCCTAACTCCATCTCTATGAGTCAACCTGAAACCCTTTTGGAATGCTTCACGAGTTCCACCTGAAACCCCATTGAAAAACAACAAACACTGAGGATGCAACTGAGGAAACACCGGAGGCCACTTGTGAAACCCAAAGGTCTTATCCGACGCTGGGTGTCCGGGACGCCATTGCTCATGGTGGCACCTGAGGGCAACGTCTACGGAGTCTACGCACTGCGTGGAACGGCTGCGGCTGACTGGGGACCCTGGTGCTTGGAGTTGCGCTCTACACTGTTGATTCATTACAAAACCAACGAACCCCTACGAACCCCATTGTCTGGGCCCCATATGAGGTCTTTTTGATCCAAATCGAGGTTGTGATTCATCAAGAGTCTACATGGTACATGATATCTTTCCTTTTTTCTAGGCTAGTCGTTGTCAACAGCCAGCTCTGTTGGGCATGACCCAAGCACTTGACCAACATCCAGAGTCTCTGGGCCCCCACTTCACCAACACCCTCGGACCATTCTTGACATCAGCACCCTCATACTTTCTGAACCGCCAGCTTGGAGAAATGGAAGATGTGTTTGGACACACTTTCACATTGAAAGTGAGAGAAACATATAGTTTCTCCATATAGTATATGTCCATAACTTATTGTAAATGTACATTATTATGTATCAAAATTCATCCATGTTTGCAAATTCTCCTATTGGATTCGCGCGTCGGACGTCCAAACCTTTTATGTTGCTCATCGCTGATCAGCTGATCGCCCACGTCGCCAACCTGACCCTCTACGGAACTCAGCCATCGGCGTGAGGAGGGTTTTGGCGACTAGTTTGTTGATTACTATGCTCCGAGCCCAAAACTGCAACTTCAGAAAGAAGACTTCAGAAGACTGCAAGCCCACTGCAAGCTCCTGCAACTTTAGAAGACTTCAGAAGACTCTAATCACTTTTGCCCGATCCGCAGGATTTGCACAGCTTTGGACCTCCGGTTTCAGGCTTTGGACCCCACCGAAAACACTGCTCCGGTGTCTTGCTCCGGCCATTTCTGAAGAAATCGTTGAACATCCTTGAATCACCCCAAGGTTGGCATTTTTCGCCCCAAGGGTGCGGTTCCGAACGCGGCAAAAGACAGTCGTGAATCCATCTTGTTGGCTCACTAGTCTACGACGACAAGACAGACAGGACATCGCGGCTGAAAACGACCAACCAGTCGTCTGGAGTATCGATGGGCATCGGTTCCGTCCAGGAGCTCCGTTCGGTTCGCGATGCCAGTTGAGCCCCTAGGCCCTAGTAGCAATGCCCTTGTTCCGAACGATGAACAACTGGACAGCTAGTCTAGTGCCCTTCTTGAGCCCACGATGGACTCAGCTGAGTCTTTCTTCACTGTGGACAATACTTACATACCTAGTTACACGTACGTACTACTCAGCAGAATCCATGGAAGGCTAAATGGAGGGTGTGCGGAGAAAGGGGTTCAGCAAAAATTGCCTCAGTTCATACGAAGTTAGTGCATCAAAATAACTACCATCCACAACCTTCCACGATGTCTTGCGAAGGTTTTGTTGCTGTCACTGTTATTGGTTTTATTTACTTTTGCTACTGGCCCACCATTCCACAAAACGTCCACGAATAGCCCTGGGTTCCACAAATGTCCGGGGGCCTTCCATGTGTTCGAAACCTGAAACCTGTGCCTCTGATCCATCGCTGGTTTCCTTCATCGTCTCCGTCCCGTCTCCCTCCCTCCCGTCTCCGCCTCCAAGTAGTTGCTGATGTTCTCGGTGTCGTAGGCCAAGCGGAACGCGCCTGGATCCACCTGCCACCAGGAAGTGTTTCTGCAGAGAGGACCTGGATGTGTGGGAAACAGGGGAGCATCTGAGAGGTCTGACAGAGGACTTGGTTCTTTCGTTCCAGAAGGGTGGATGAACTAATACAACCGCTGGATGCGGCTCCACGCTGCTCCCCTCCACTCCGCTCCGCTGTTTCCACCGCAGCTCGGCGCCGAGCGCTTGTTGCTGTGCGAAGGTGAGATGTCGAAGGTGCCGCTCCTCGAAGGGGGCAAGCCCGGCGTCGATGTTTGACCACGGAAGCCGAGGATCGGTGGGAGGAGATGTCCAATGTCAAACAGCATGGATCTTTTCAGGGCATCTCAATTCAGCTCTCTTTAGGACTTTGACATTTCGCACATCTTGGTCAATGTTGCTTTCAAAAAAATCAACCGCTGAACAGCAACTCCAAGAAAACAAAAGGCACCAAGCCACACTGCTAAGCCTCCGCCGCTGCCATCGATGTCCCAGCTCCACCTTTCGGTGGGCGCTCCGCAGTTTCTGCTGCACCGCGTCCTCCGCGCGCATGGCCTGGGACGTCACTGGAGGTCCAGCTCAACGTTATTTTTTTTAATGCAACGAAATGGTGTTGGATAGAAGAAAACCGATGAAACGGAAGAAGAAAGGACTTAAGAAAGGAAGGAACGACGTTGGAAGTTCTTCTTGTTTGTATGTAATGATGTGTCAAACAAAATTGTGTGATTATATATATATATAGAGATATTATTGTTATTAATCGTTACTATTCTTATTATATTACATGTTTTCCCCCAGTCGAAGTCCAAAGATCGACTTGGTCCCTTTCACATGGTCCCGGAACCCTAAGTGTTGCACAAGAGATCCGGAGCCAAAAAGGCATGGACTGGTTGCAGGTGTTGGTTGCAGGTGTTTGTAGTGAGAAACGTAAAGTTTGACTGAATGGTGTCTGATTGAATGCTGACAGGATGGCATAGTGAGAGTGGCGAGGCGCAGACTGTATGTGTGAGCGCTTTTGGTGCGTTGTGAATTGTGAAGCTAGGACTAGATGTACAATTCTTTTGATTTCTTTTGGGCATGTTTGACATGCTGACATTCCATCTAATCTATACAGCCAGTATTGATTTGATGGGAATTTAATTTGCATGTATTCGAATAGGAAAGCCCCCCAAACACGCTGGAAAGGCAAACATAGACTAGAACCAACTGGTTCAGGTGTCCCACTGGTGAACAACAAACGCACTTGAGCTCGATATGACCTGACTGTCTGGTACTTTCAGCTCCCTCCGGATCGCCTTCAACTCTCGCGCAAGGTGATTCTGCAAGATCTTCTCTTGCACCTGTCGATCCCAGAAGTGCGATTCTCAAGACACATTGAAAAAACAACGATCAAGACCTTATGTAAAGTTGTACTCTCCAACCACGGAAGTGGAGAGTGGCCCCTGAGCCAATTGTTATACCTTTCCGTATAGGTCGGAAAGGTATACACATCGATGCGACGGTCTCGACCCCGACCTGCTGCTCCCGCGCCAGTTGCCGTTCGGCGCGGGGCGCCGCCTTCTGCCAGCGCTGCCAGAGGGCCAAGCGGCGACGCTGCTGACGTTCGCGCTGGCGCACGTGGAGTGCCTCCCTCTTGCTACGGCCTGGGAGAAAGGAGCTAGGTGACGGGAAGGGGGTGGGTAGTTATATAGGTAGTTGGGTCACAGTTAGGGGGAAGGTTTGCTGTGACTGGGTGTTCATATTATATATGTCTTCATGGTGGGATTGCTCTGAGGGCAGGGATCACTTGATACTTTCTGATATATCTAATCATGTTTAATCATGTTGGGCAATTTTGGGTGTGGATGTGTGTGGTGTTCTCCTTCTAAGAATGACCTAAAGCTCTCGCAGATTCTTGGTTTCCTGAATGACCCAAAGGACTAGCATGCAGATCTCCTCAGCCCAGGATTTCTTGTATATAGAGCCTGTGGAGCTCGGGCTTAAAAGGCAACTACCCATGCAACTGGCCGCCATTCAATGTATCTCAACTTAGCACCCTATCAAATGTATATTATGAATGCTAGAGCTGAAAAATAAAATAATGAATCATCATATGGATCGAGTTGGTTTGGCATGTTCAAACAAGAGGTCTTCCTCGAGCAACTTCCTTGTGCCATTATGAACCAGCAACCTGCGTCACATATACTGTACCAGTACTGCTTAAGGCTTGCGCTCGCCTGAAACTTGTAGAATTCACCTGACCCTTCCATCATCTCCCATGTGCCATGGCTCGCTTCTCCTGGATCTCCTCCCTGCGATTCTCCGACTCACGTTTCCGCTCACAAGCCTGGGGGCTCGATTTCGATGGAGTGAACTGCACAGCGGTGAGAAAACTGCATCCATGACTCATTCCAGTTGGCGTTTGATACAGAGTCTCTCACCCCATTCCTAGTAGCGTCCTTGCTCCTAGCGATGCCCTTTGCTCCCTTCGTAGCTTCTTGTTCCTAGTAGTCTGGCCAGGAGCTGCGTTCGGTTCGCGTCCTTGCTCGCTCCCGCCCTCACCGTGGACCCCTGGCGGACCACCCCATTCGGACGGAGCAACGGACGCGAACCGAACGGGGATCCTGGCACTACGAACGGAGCAAATAGCTACTAGGAACAAAGGGCATTGCTACTAGGAGCAAGGATGCTACTAGGGGCTACTACTAGGAGCAAATAGCCTAGGGGCTCCTTGCTACTAGGAGCAAGGATGCCACCTCAAAGGTGCCCAAACGTCTCTCCTGTCAACAAAACCAAGGCGTACCGCGAGCGTGAGGAAGACTGTACCAACTGACAATGCACTGACTGTACGCAGCACGCGTTTGAGGATGATGGCACAAAGGGCGCTTGCCCCATCCAGCTGTCAATCGAACAATGCATGCCCCAAAGCCAGTCAATGATATCACAGGAAAGAACAGTTCGTTGTGAGTTGGAAGGATTCTGGGTAGTAGCCCTTAGATGGGTGGAGCTGCAAACACGTCCGACTGTACAGTCCAAAAGTCTTTTCGCTACAGGTACTCAAACAGACTTGCTCAAGTCCTCCTCACCCTGTTCCGTCCAACAAAGGTCCACCGGGTCAATTGCGGTGCCAATGAACCCAATTTGGAGACATGTTTTCACAGGGATCGAAGCAGGCAGAACCCATCAGACCCCCCTTTCGGAACGGGCCAGTTGGCCACAGGACGGCCTCTGAAGCAAACAACAAAGCAATAGATGTTTGAGGTTGATTCACCAGTTTTAACTCACAACATGTAATTCCGAAGCACTTTGGAGCCCATTGGATCAACAAGCATTCTGGTGCCTGGATGCCCAGCCTTCTGCCTTCCGTCACATCCAGCCTCCTCCCAAATCTTCTCCGCAAAGCGTTGAGCCTTCTCCACTGAAGGCCGCCGACGTAGCCTCAGTTCCAGGCCAAGTCTGCGATGAGTGCGGTTTCACCACTGCTTTCAGCAAGGTTGCGCAATCTCGAAAGGCTGCGCAATCTCACACGATGCCACTTGGGAAAGAGAAAGGTCTTGCAGCACTCATTTTACCATGTTTCACCAGCAAAGCTGGAATCATGAATCCTGCACCATCGAAATGAATCCTGCACCATCGAGTCAGATTTGGATTCAGAGCCAGACATCGAGCCATATCAAACCCCTAACAGCCAAATCTGGATCCCAAATTCGTGAAGCGAGGACATCCCTCACTCTGCCACCAGGTCCATTTTTGGCGCAGCTATTGGTCGAGGGGCTTGTAGACGTTGGTGCGCTTGGCTGTCATCACTCGAACCAGCTCCTGGGGAATTCAAAGGCGAACATCACCACAAACGCTTAAGAAAACGCGTCAGAAGTGCTGGTCATGCGACGGCCTCCAACCTCATGGCAATGTGCATGGACCATAACAGAATCCATCAGAAGCCGTTTGGCCTTTGGAATTTGGCAACCACTGACTTCCAGATTTGCGGAATCTGTTCGATTCTCTTCACTCAAACCGAATAATGACCTTAACGCAAACACTATCACTCAAACACAAATGGCAAATTGTTGTGGTATGTTGCGGTTCTGTTGGAGACTATCCCTCGTTCTTTGCGTGACAAGTGGATGGATATAAATGGACCTCTGGAAATTAGAGAGAAGCCTCCACAACTCCGAGAAGGCTCCACCTTCACCACACCACCACCACGGGCCTGGGTGTCGTTCCACCCATGCCGCTCTCCGTCGCCCGCCTGCCGCTCCTCTTGAAAGTTCAGCACCCCGGCCTCCCGCGCCCGCAACAACCGCGCGCGGTCATTCAAGACTTCCTCGAGGCAACAGGTACTGGGGGAAGCGACCTTCCCTCCAAAAGCTCGCAGGTCCACATAGTAGGAGACATTCATCTCCTGGGGCAACAAACACACCCAGAAGCAAAGAAGCTCAGAAGCAGCAGCGCCCTATGATCTGTCCACACTCCTTCCTTCCAAAGAAAGAACGACTGTGCGCAAACTTGAACACCACCTTCAAAACTCCCAGTTTTTGGTTGAATTGGGTCATCAAATGCCACCAGCCATCCACAGAATTCTTTTGCCTTCAAACATCTTCATAACCGAACCGTTCATTCATGAAGCTCGTCACCGAAGCACCAGCCCCTACCGCAAAGTAGTATCGCTCTCTCCTTCAGCTCCGCCTGCCGCGCCGCACAAGCCTTGTGGCAGGCCTCGTCAAAGGTGTGGCCTTCCAACTCAACCAAAGACTCGACCTCGCTGCGGATCCGCATCAGAGTGATGTGATGATCCAAAGCCATTTGGATGTCACCACCTTAATGCAGCGCAATGACCACGCCCAGAAGCAAGCTAGGTTTTGGCGCAAAATTGAACGGTCCCAGCGGGTCTGGCTGGTTTGGGCACTTCAAAGGCGCGATGTTACTGTTTGAGGGTAAGTTTGGTCAAACAGTAGAAACAAACTATAAATAAATATATAACTGAATCTAACTGATGATGGCTCAAAGGGAACCACTTTGGTCATATATGGTCCTT